AGATGGCATGTGGAGAGCTGGAAAGGAAAAGGATGCAAGGAGGGTGAGCCCTGCTCTTGTACTTTTATGGATGTCCGATGCCCTCCTATGCACTCACCCTGAAACCAGTGCCACAGGAAACCAGCCAGAGCCCCTTTCAACGAACAGGGAGGAGGTGGTCATGGGTGAGCCCTGGTGAGTTTCCCACCTGCATTTTGCTGTAATCCATCCGCACCGTAGGGCCACACTGCACTGCACTGTCCCCACCTCCCCCACACTGTGTGACTGGGTCCCCTCCCTCCCTTGCACCTATCTCTTGCTGTTTACCAGGCCACATGTCTCCTCTGTCTGGTGAGCCGGCTGGACACATAGCGGAAGGAACAGAATAAGAGTGTGAGCTAAGGAGCTGGGCCCTTAGAGTCTGAGTCCTGGCACTGTGACCCTGGCTGTGATACTTATATTTTCTGTACCCCACTTTTCTTTCTTTTTTTTTTTTTTGGTACTGGGGATCGAACTCGGGTCCTTGTACTGGCAAGGCAGGCAGCGGAATCACTGAGCTAAATCCCCAGCCCTCATTTTTTATTTGGTACCTGATTGTGTTAATTACTTTTCTCTCATTGCTGACCTGACACCCAAAGTTAAAAGGGAAGGGGTTTATTTGTCTTACAGTTCATAGAGGTTTCAGTCCATAATCAGCTGGCTCCGAGGCTGGGATGGGAAACAAACAGCGCAGAGGAGAAACAACATGGCACACCCAAGGCAGCAAAGGTAACAAGAGGGAGAGAGTTTAACAGCATCTTTCTGCCCCTTTTATCTTATTCAGACTACTGGTATTAGGGTGGTGCCAAACTAATCACTCACGTGTAGTGGTTTAGTAATCACACGCCCTTAACCTCAGCATCACACATTCCAGATTCACTTACCTCTGAAAAAGAAAGCCCCACCTCATCTACATGAGGCTTTGGGGGGACATCTAAACACAAACCATAGCACTCATCAAGCTCATTTATCAGCATCATTATCATTCATGGGTTCCTACAATGTGCCTGTCACCTAAAAAGATCAGTCCCTGCCCTTGAGGAGCTCACCTCAAGAGGGAGTGACAATGAATGACATCAGTGGTTATAACAGGGTGATGACAGCCAAGGAACAGCAGTGTGGTATTTGCTCTGAAGCACATGGCTCTGGAGTTTGGGTTCAAATTCTAGTTTCATCACTTCCTGGCTGTGTGACTAAGTTATTATTAACACTCCTAAGACTGCTGTGGGGTGCAGTTAAAAGATGACAAGCTACCAGAAGAGAGCTGCATGGTTTGGACATAGTTTGAGTGTCTTCCAATGGCTCGTGTGTTAGAAGCTTGGTCCTCAGTGTGGCAATGTTGGGAGGTGGTAGAACTTTTGAGTGACAGGACCTGGCAGGAGGTGGGTAGTTACTGAGGGCACTGCTCTCAGGAGGGATTAAGGTAGTTCTCATGGGACACCAGTTAATTCCCATAAGAGTGAGTTGTTATAAAAGAGCAAGCCTGACCTCTGAATCCTCCTCTGGCTTCCTGCCTCACCATTGTGATGCTATCTGCCATCAGCCATCACCAGAGGCCAAACCAATGGAGCCACCCAATCTTCAATGTATAAACTAAACAAAACTCTTTTCTTTATATGTTACCCAGCAGCCTCAGGTATTTTGTTATAACAATGGAAAACAGACTAAAGTGAGTGTCTGGCACATGGTATTCAAGATATGTATCTTCCTACACATGTACACACACCCACTCCCAACGGGTATCTACTGAGAATGAAATGAGGGCACAGAAAGTAAGAAACTAAAATTGAGTCTGGCAGGATTCCAAGAGGAGGTGGCCTCAGAGCCTAGTCTGTAATAATGAATACAGGAGGGCCGAGGATTTAGCTCAGTCGTTCCACCGTCTGCCCCACAACCGCAAGGTCTAGAGTTAGATCCCCGGTACCAAAAAAACAACAACAACAACAAAAAGAATGAATACAGGAGAGTAGAAAAGCACAGGGAGGTTAATTTGGGCTGAGCTACAGCCCATGGAAAAGCATGAAAGGAGACACCATCAGTCAGGTCATAGGGCCTTTGGGGAGCCCTAAGATAGGTATGTTTAAGAGGCAGACAAGAGCTAAGTCACCCAGGACCCTGAGATTGAATTTGGATGTTGCTTGAAGGAAGAGTTCAAGCTGGAACCTGCTATGCTACTTTGGCCTTTTTAAACTATGATTTCATGACATTAGCCAGTGATAATAAACTTTGTAGTCAACATCTTGAGGCCTTGTAGGATGCAGAAGTAAAGCCTAAAGAGGGCTTTGATAAGTGTATAGACTTCTAGGGCTGAGTCTGTTATGCTGATTCTTTGGGAAGTGACAAATCCTTTGTGGGAAGACATAACTTTTCTTCCAGAACAATACCTGGATACAATAGATTTACCCAACAAATACCAGTTAAAGAATTCAGAATAGCCCATGTACATTAAATAGGGTAACTTCTAGTTACTTATGGTAATTTACTATAATGTTCTGATGGAAAGTAGAGAAGTGTGTGAGGTATGAACTGAACTGCAGCAAGAGGCTGAAGGACAAATGCCAGTTGGGGTATTTGTTACTAGTTAGATTTCAGTTTAAGGGTGGGCTGTTCATTTGAATCATGAAATCGACAAAAAGCAATCTCCTCAGACCACAAAATGGCAGAGGCTTATTTCTTGCTTCTAGTTACATAATATAAAATTAGCAAAATGAATGATGTCCTCCTTTTATTTGACAGGAAAATGGGTTAAAAGAAACTAAAATACACTGAATCAAATGGTCTGGGAATCTACGAGAGAACATGAAAAATAATAGGGTTTTTGTTGCTGTTGTTGTTGTTTGTTTGTGTTGTGTTTTTGAGGCAGAGTCTCACTATGTAGCACAGGCTGGCCTCGACCTGGCAGTGATCCTCCTCCTCAGCCTTCTGAGCACTGGGATTGCAGGTGTGCACCACCATGTCCAGCAATAACAGGGTTTTTATTGTTTGTTTTGGTTTGGTTTGGCTTTGGCAGCACTGAAGATTGAATCCAGGGCCCTGTGCACACTAGGCAAACCTTTACCACTGAGCTACACACCCAGCCTTTTTTTTTTTTTAAATGGAGTCTTGGTAAATTGCCTGGGTTGGTCTTGAATTTGAGATCCTCCCACTTCAGCATCCAAGAAGCTGGGATTATAGATATGTGCCACTGTGGCCAGCCCAAAAGTATCTGAACAGTCTTTGAACTCTAGCGCATTTATTCATTCAACAAATATTTATTCAGCACTTTCTACATTTGAGATGCTAAGGATACAACTGTAAACAAGACAGACTCCATCTTGTTCTGCACTTCATGATGATTACACTGAAGCAGGAGAGGTGACAAAGGCTTTACACAAACATGTGCTAGCGACTGGGTTTGTCAACTCCCAGCTTGCAGAGCAAATGACCTGAGGACAAATGGTTAATGCAAGGCAAACGATTTATTTAGAAAGCCAGCAAACCAAAGATGAGATGGGGTCGGGGACATAGCTCAGTGGTGCTGCACCTGCCTGGCAAGCACAAGGTCCTGAGTTTGATTCTCGATTCTGGAGAGAAAACAAAAAACCCAAAAGCAAAGAAGATGGGATACAACTGCCCACAAAGACCACCTTAATTCAGCCTAGATTTTTTGTTTTTTTTTTTCAGCCTAAGTTTTAAGCTCCTTTTACTCCTAAGTAAGAGGAAAGAAGAGTGGCTTAGGTGAGGAAAGGGTGGATGACTGGAAACTTCTAGGTGCTTTTCTGAAGATCTGTAACAGGACACTATGAAAGTGGGTGCTTGATGGTGTGTTAATGATTATGAGCCTGTAAATACTGAAAATATCTTAGTTATTCTTATCTGCTTGTCTCTATCCTTGAAGGAAGAGAAGGGGAGGTTATTAGGTGAACTTAGGGGTAATCAATCTGTATTTTCAGTTCCAATGTTACTTAAATGATTAATATGTCCATTTATAGATTTGAGCAAAAAATCTGACCAAAGGTTAAATTACAGATTGGTAAACTTTGTGACTTCCAAAATTAGTGATTTTGAGAGTGAACTAAAAGTGAAACTGCCAGGTTTATTTAGGTTTTCCCTCAGTTATACATACACATTAACAAATATAGAATAACAACCTGTGAAAAATGCTATGAGAGAAAACAATGGCTATGGAAAAGAAGAAAGAAGCCTTGCTTTAGGCTGGGAGGAGGGTCAAGAAAGGTCCTCCTAAAGAACATGTGGAAGCCCGAGCAGGGAAAAGACCAGGACCAGGGCACAGGGGGAGGTTCCTGGCAGGAGGAGGCCTCTGTGCCAGGTGGAAAGGAACTGTGGGCACAGGAGAAACAGAGAGACCAGGGTAGACGGAGTTGGGAGGTCCTGAGCTCTGGGGAGGGCGAGGCTGGCTGGCATGGAGACCAGTTAGGGAAGCAGGGAAAGGAGAGACATGAGGAGGCCCACAACGGTGGTCCCCATTCTCCCTGACTCCACACACCCCTCAGGTCACAGGTGCTCAGCCCAGGGAAGAGGTCCCCCCAGACACGAGTATTCCCACAGGTCAGTGACTGTGTGTGTCCCGTCGCCCCCCCCCCCGCCCCCATCAGAGGCAGGAGGCAGGGGTGGGGCAAAGCCAGGGAGAAAGAAGCCCAGGGAGCTAGGCTGGTCTAGGTTTGGCTCCAGACTCCCCCTGTGGCCGGGCACGACCCAGGTGACCAGTCCATAAGCGGATAAAAGTTTTTACCCTCAGCGCTTAAAAAGGTTCGTAGATGAGTGGATGTAAATGTTCGGCCCGTGTAGGGGGTTAAATAACTGGGAGAAAGGAGGCATTTGCAAGAAGATAGCAGGAAGGGAGACTCTCAAGACAAGCCTTGGGGACTGAAGGGTTGGGGGGGTCTAGTAAGAGCTGGGTTGCGGCCTCTCTCGGCCATCACCAAGAGGAAGGGACTGGAATTGGGGCGGGGTGCGCTTGAACCAGTAAGCGTTAAGCAGCGCGGTGAGGGGGCGGAGCAAGAGCCGAGCAGGAAGGAGAAAGGGGAAGAAGCCTGGGAGGAGAGGAAGCTCGCGCAGAAGAGGTGAGGGCCGGGACGCGAGCGGGTTCGGGAACCTTCTCTGAGGCTATCACAGGTGAGCCCCCGTCCTGGGGGGAGGTGACAGCAGGACTGGTGCTTGCTTCCTTTCTGGGGTCCTCGAAGACGGGCGCGCGGACGGGGCAGCCTTTTGAAGACTGCGCGCTGGCCATGACAGCTTCCCACCCCCTCTCCAACTGCCTTGGGCACCCAGCGCCACCCTAGCGGCCCCGGGAGGCATGGGGGCCTTGGGGTAATGCAGGTGGCCTCTGGCTGGGGCTGGCTGCGGATTCCAGCTTGCTGCCTCTGAGCTACACCCCCACATTAGAAAATGCGGTAACCCCCTCTTTGTCATCCTACCCTCACCCCCATCCCGCTGCCACTGCCCGCCTGTCAGCATCCCAGTCCCCACCCTCACCCCAAGAAGCCCAACAGACCTAGGTGTGGGCCACTTGGAAGCTGAAACCCTCAAAAGGCTGACTTAGTTGTGAACTGATTACAAACCGGTTTCGAGGGGAACAGACCACCAAAGCTGAGGCGGTATGGTATCTTTGCTTCCTGATTGTTGTCAGGGCCTAATGCCCAAGCAAAAGTAATCTAATTTGACCCTAGGTCAGCAAAGACTTCCTCTGAGTCTTAAGGAAATAAGGTGTCCAGTCCGTGCTGGCTGCTGATCTGGTGCTTTACGGGCTTTGTCCCTCATCCTTAACTCATCCCTCATTCTTTATATTTGTGCAACAGCTCCTCAAGATTGCTGTACCCCTCACACCTACTTAGTGGGTGAGAAAGGTGAGGAACGGACACAGCAAGTCACTTGCCTCTGTGCATTGGTCAGAAGGAGGAAAGTCAGGATTTGATTTGGATTTGTGTTTCCCATGCTGGGGATTGACTAGGCCTGGCACATGCTGGGCAAGCACTGTGCTACTGAGTCACATCCCCTCCCTGAGTTAGAATTTGAACTCAGGTCCTTCCAACTCCATGACCTTCCCGTGAAGGGGGAGCCTACAGCAACTTCAGGCACCTAAAGTGAAGTCTGGATCAAGTAGGGACTCCCTTGTCACATAGGCCTTGCAGCTTAGTAACTAATGTAGGAAACAGAAAGGTGTGTGAGATATTTGTTCTGTAGGGAGGTCAGTGATAGTCATGGAGCCCAGGGCTGCAGAGTGAAGTGGTGTTGCCAAGGTCAGAGGCTCAAAGTCCACTAGGAATATGTTTATCATGGCCAAAACCCAGGACCTGTTTTCCGAGCCATGTGATTGCTGTTGATGACTCATTCCCTCCTTCAGTAATTTCCTGCACTTTGCATCAGCTCTCAGTCTGTCATTTCCTTGGCCTGATCTTGATTTTTTTGAGGGGAGGGGTACTGGGGATCAAACTCGGGTCCTTTCGCTTGCAAGGCAAGTGGTGGAACCATTGGGCTACATCCCCGGCCCTAGGCCTGATCTTGTTTTGTTTTTTGGTTTTTTTCTTCTCATCAGTATTTCCTTGCGCTCACTGTCCACATTCGCCAATACATTTTTTAGATAGTTTTCAGGTTCCTCATTTAGACTGTCAGTCTCTGTGATGGCAGTTCCCAACTCGCCTCTCCAGCCTATCCCTAATCTTGGGACTCTGGACCCAAACTCTCAGATATTCTAATCTCTACTGGCTAATTCTACTGCTTGCCCCCACAGGTACCCAAATACAACATTCCCAGATCCAAAGTTATCCCATCCTCCCACAGGGCTTGGGTCTCTGCGGCTCCTTGCCTAGGCTAGTGCATTACCTTCCACACTAGTCCTCCTGCCCCTGGAGTCCACCCACCTCTACACAGCCTCTTGAAAGTTCAGGAGTCATCTTGTTAGTATCTTGAGATCTAACAGACCTTTCTCCTCTTCTTTCGAACCTTGTACCCTGAAGGAGAACCCTTCCCACTTTGTATAATTGCTCACTTATCTGTCACCATTAGTGTGTGTGTGTCACATTAGAAATTGAGTTTGTAGATGGTTGCAGATTAAGACTAATGAAAGAGCAAAGTAAGCTTTCCAATTAAGTGCTGTTGGTACTAGGAGTGATTATTGATATAGAAACATTCAGTTATGTTGTAGTAATTCTCTTCTACTTTTCTTAGACATTGGGTCAAGGAGTAAGCAGAGCATTCAAGAAGAAAAGCAAGGAGAACATCATCATGGCTTCAGTGTCTACTCATGGAGACCAAGAGAAAGGGCCTCAGTTGCCACCACTGAGCAAGAAGGTATATTTTTAATTTGAGTGGAAATTGAGAGTGGCCATCTGAAGAGGGATATCTCATAGGACTTTCCTTAAACTTCACCCTGACCCGCCATCTTACTTATTTTTTTCAGTCTGCCTCTTTGTTAAATGGGTGCAGGGAACATAGACTGAGGAAGGAAAGTGTGGTTTTGGATGCCTCGAAAAGAAGCCTTTTAAAATTTTATTTACAAACTCTTTTTGGTACACTTTCCTGTTTGGAACTCAGCTTAGCTAACTCATAAAGAGGATGTCCGTGACTGAAGAGGTTTCCTGTAGCAGAGCAAAACTCTTGTCACTATCAGAATGATGCATCTTGCTTATTTTTACATTTTTTTGTTACTAAAGGTTATCATACTAAGCATATGCTCTGACGGGTGTTGCTTTTAGGATAGCAGAGTCCTTAATTACTAATTAGCCATCAGATTGAGAACTCACATGTTAACATGGGCACATTTTTTCAACTTGTTAAGAATGAATATTATTTGCTTCAGCAACATAAAATGAAAGAGAGAGAGAGAGAGTATTTGGTGGATAAATGGAGCTCATGTTCTTGGGGTCAACGATTCAAGCTAAAATTATCTTTGGAGGAGATAATGTATAAGGAGCAAAGAATAGGAGAGGCAAACAGACAAGCAGTAACAGGTCACAAGGAGAAGAATTTGAAAACTGAGCTTCCCCTGTGAAATAGCCATAAAACGACCATGGCTCTACAGAAAAGGATCCCTAGAGCTCCTGAAAGGAGACTGCAGGTCTTGACCTTGAATCTGGGAGCACAGAAATTGTGATAGTTTGGTGTGTACATATGTGTGTAAAGGGGATTTTTCTTATTTCTGCTGCAGCCACAGCAGAAGCAAGAACAAATACAGATACTCCTTTTTTTAGAGTGGGCTTCTATGCCAGTAAACCCACCAGCAGTTGCAAATAGCGTAAGTCAAAAATGCGTTTACAGGGCCAGGGATTTAGCTCAGTGGTTCTGCCACCTGCCTCCCAAGTGCAAGGTCCCGAGTTTGATCCCAGGTACCAAAAAAAGAAAAAAGATGCATTTAATACATCTGTCTACCATACATCAAAGCTTAGCAACACAATTCACTGTAGAGTGCCGGCTGTGTACCCTCGTGATCATGTGACCGACTGCGAGGTGCTGCCCAGTATCACAGGAAATTGTGTATTATAGTGCATATGGTTAGCCCTGGACAAGATCCAAATCCCAAGTATGAAAGCCTGTCGATTCCCACCATCATAAAATCAAAAAATGTGGACCAGCATGAGTTAGGGACCATCTGTATTTACATGGGACACACAGGAGTGCCTGCTGAGGGGCACTTGTGGTAAGGAACCAAGGTGATAGAATGACAACAATCACTTCTGCATTGGTGTGCATCACCACAGTTACAACTGTTGGCCTCACACTGATTGCTGCACCCTTGTACTGAGGCATGGGTGTAGAGAATAAAAGGGTGGCCACCAGCTTGCGCTGCTTGTAGAGCTCTGGAAGTACAGGAGCCATAGGGACCCTCACCCTATTAACATGACATCATGCATTTCACATACTTGGCATAGAGCCTAGTCCGTGAGAAAGTGCTTAAGAAATGGTTCTATCACCGTCCTTGATATCTACTATAAAACAGTCTAAAAAGAGCAGTGGAAAATCAGAAGATCTCTACCTTCACTGAGGAGGCAACATTGAGCTGGGTCTTAAAACCAGGTAGATCCAGGCATGGTAGTGCATACCTGTAGTCCTAGCACTTGGGAGGCTGAGGCAAGAGGATCACCTTGAGTTCAAGGCCAGCCTGAACTACATAGTGAGACCCTGTTTAAAAAACAACTAAAAAAGACCAGGTAGGTAAAGGGAGTGAGAAGCCTGGTAGGTATAGTGAACTGGATGGGTAGAGGTTTGGAGGCAAGGAAGGACACATGGCCTCAGCTGAAATTCAGCCTGTCCAGATAGCTGCTCCTTGTGCTCTAGACAGTAAGTCACTCTGTCTCTCCAACTGGGATTCATTCCTTGCCTAAATCCATCGAGTGGATTGACCATTAATGAAGAGCTGGGTGTCATGGCTCATGCCTGTGGACCCAGCTACTCAGGAAGCTGAGGCAGGAGGACGGTGCAAGTTCAAGGCCAGCCTAGACAACTTAGGGAGATCTTATCTCCAAACAAAAATAGTAAGTTCAGGGTCGGGGATTTAGCTCAGTGGTTTCCCCTCCTGCTGTGCAGGTGCAAGGACCTGAGTTCGATCCCTGGTACCAAAAAAACCCAAATAATAATAATAATAAGTTCTGGGAATATAGTTCAGTAGCAGAGCACTTACCTGTACAATGCCATGGATTTAATCCCCAGTACTGAGAGAAAGAGATGCAGAGACAGACAGACAAAATGGGTGCTTTATCTTTTTTATTTTGTTTGTTTGTTTGTTTGTTTATTTATTTATTGGTGTTTTGAGACAGGGTCTCACTATGCAGTTCAGGCTGGTCTTGAACTCACTATGTAGCCCAGGCTGGTCTTGAACTCGCAGTGATCCTCCTGCCTCAGCCTCCTGAGTGCTGGGATTATAGGCATGCATGCCTGGCTTGGATGCTTTTCTGATGATCTGAATTAACTCACCATGTAATTTTCCTTACAGAGTTTCTTGTTTTGTCCAAAATCAAAACTGCACATGCACAAAGGAGAGGCTGCCAAGATTATCCGAGAATGTCAAGAAGAAAGCTTCTGGAAGAGAGGTAATCTCATCCCTCTTGATGTTCATTAACACTCTATTTGCTGCAATATCCATCTCCATCTCCTATTAGAATTATGCTGATGATTTATTATTGAGCAGGGTTTTACATAAATCCTTAAAGAACTTTGATATTAAGAGATGTTTAGAGTTTAAATCCATTTTGAGACCCTTTTCAGGGCAGAGATGACATCTAATTGTGGAGCTCTTTACCTCACTTTAGCAGAAAGTGACACACACGTAACTCTTTCCTTCTCGTGAGCACAACATATATCAGGACCATTACTTAGAATTTCTTGATGACCAAAAAGTAGGCCTTACCTAAATTCCACTCATGTCTAAGCTTCATAGGACTCAGAAATGATGCCTAAGTTCCTCTGAGGCTTCATCCCAGAGCCTAACACCATGCCTCAGACATAGAAAATGCCTCATAAGTACTTGTTTAGTGAATAAAAAATGGCAGTGTTCCATAAATACCTCTCTTCCTGTTTCTGAATAGCATTTTGTGGTGAGTTGCTTCCTTTTTCTAGGCCTGCTTTACATCAGAAAAGGGTGTGAAGTCCAGCTGTGTATTAAAGTCCCTTCCAATTAAAAAAACAAGAAAACTCATGATTCATCATTTGAAAATAGCATAGCTGAAACTAGTGGTGCATAGCTGTAATCTCAGCACTTGGGAGGCTGAGGCAGGAGGATTGTCATGAGTTTAAGGCCGGCCTGGGCTACATATAAGTTCAAGGCCAGCCTGAACTACATAGCAAGGCCTTGTCTCAAAAAAAGGAAAGAAAAGAAAATGGCATAATAGCCTATAGCTGTACACCTAATATCTCACAACATTGCTGACAAAGGGATAATTTAGACTT